TGTTTTGTTTTGATATATAAGTTGTTCGGGTTTTTTATCTAAAAAAAGCGACATTAATTTCTTGACGACCTAATACAAACAAACAAAGACATGAGTTTTATGGCTCCAGATGGACATGGAAGCAATAGGGCTGCTACTCGTGATAATATTACGAGACTGCAGATGGTTTTTGTTTGTTTGTTTTTCATATTCCTCTTGATTTGTCTATTATAGTTTTCCTTTCAGAAGTACATATAAATAGCAATTCAAATATATCTTTTGACTGCCACAAGTCAGTGCCAATAAGGCTATTCCCTCAATACCAGGGGTCATTAGCTGGGCTGGACATGATGGAAGTCAAAAGTTGTTAAAAATGTTTAAATAACTCTATTCAATTATGTATCAGCTGCCCAATGTCGGATAAGAATACAAAGAATCAAACTTTGGCAGAATGCTACAAGTTCTTCAAATACCTGTAAGATGATAGGTTTCTTTTTGTGAGTGTAAATCACTTAAATATACCATTTCGATTTTCTATACCTCACTACTATAAAGGCTTGGTTTGGTTTGATATTTCATCGGGATTGTAACATTTGATTCGAGATGTCTTGTTGCTAGAGTGCGGTTCGTTTTGGTGAGTGATTGTTAACGGTTATTATTTATTTGTTTCTTACTTTTCCTTTGTGTATTTGTGTCCATGCATTCTGGGTCAGTCGCCTCGTCGTGTTCGTCCAAAACCTTATTCCCAACCCACGGAGGGTGTACCTCGGAAACCTGCAACTCTTGGTATTTCTCCATCTTGGGCCGACTGCTTAGACTCGGATAGCTCTTCCACTACTAGTGATGTTTTGCGACTGTCGTATGCTGCCGTTGCCTCATCGTCGTTCTCTGGTTTAACTACCTCTACTGTCTCTCACCTGTCTCCTGCTGGTTCTACTTCGTCTATCGTTCCTGCCTCTACCACTGTTACTCAGTCAATTCCTGCCCACTCGATCCGCCTATTCTGGTGAAGCACTCGGACCTATGTAAACTACTGAAGCTCCTCAGATTACTGTTCTACTACTTTCGGGCATGGATTCCCCGTATTTCTCTACCAGGACCCTCTTTCTCGAACTTTCTAAATACTGCCTTCGTTCTGAAGTTCATCAACTAATTCCAACGAGAAAGGGCATAATTGTGAAAACTGGTAACCCTCAGTTGTGTGATATACTACATAACAAAATGGGCCTGCTTAATCTGGATCAATCTACCATGCTCACTCAACTTTTCTCCCCTGCTCTAAAACAACAACCTCCTCCTCGTCGTACACCTCTATTCTCTTGTGTCATCCGTGGTGTGGATCCAGGCATTACTGAAAAAGAGATCCTCTCCGAACTTCTACTTGAAAACATATCAGTCAAGCATGCCATTCACATTCAAAATTCCTCCAGTCCTACCTTCATGATTCGTGTTTTGGCTGAGAATAGTGACACTATAGATTATCTCCTGTCTAATGGAGCATTTCTTTTCCATCAACGCCATTGGGTTGAAGCTTCTCATTCCCCGGCCCCTAGGCTCTGCACTGTGAGAGATGCCTACTATACAACTCACAAACCACTGCTAAATGCCCTAATCAACCAGTTTGTTCTCATTGTCGCGAACCACATCTCCTTTGCCAATGCTCTCGCTTAAGCTCTCCTCCCCACTGTAACACTTGCCATGTTGATCATCCTACATATTCCTCTAAGTGTCAGGGTAAACCTACCCCCAAGACTGATGATCCTGCTTCTGTTGCTCCAGTGCATACCACCGATGCCATTACCCCTCTGGCCAACTCTGTTGCTATGTCTCCTACATGGAGGATATCATCCGTTTTGTCACATTGATACTACAGAATGTCCTCCCC